ATCTCTTCTGCAAGCTGCGAGCTCTTCTCTAGTTATATTGCCACATCATACTGCTCCATCACACGTAGGAACACGGAAACAGGGAGACAGAATACTACTTTAGCTCTTTTATATTTTATCCTAGGTAGGATGTACCAGTTCAGGCTGACCAGAAATGAGAGTGCTCCCAGATGCTCTCTGTTGGACAACGGAGAGTGCACAGTGGGACAGGGAGAGCAGCCTTTGCTTGGCCAGACCCACCCTGCCCTGAACTATGCTGCAGTCCCTACCACTGCAGAGCCCGGTGTGCTGTCTGTGCAGCAAGAGGCATGGGCGAGCAGGCTGATCAGCGGGCATGCAGCGCCTCCAAATCAGATGTATACCACCTGTCATTGTTAATGGTGGTTTACACGTTAGACCGCACTGGAAGCTATTAAGGGATCTTCTTGCGTAAGCAAGAGAACAGCACCCACATCCACTTTTTCTTTTTGTACAGACTAGCCAAATAGCTGTCATCTGGGCTATCCACCCCTTACAGAGCCCTGATAATGCTCCCTTTCTCTGGCAGTCAGCTCCTTCACATTGCAGCTGGCTATCATAGACAGCTCTTCAGAGACTTCTGATCATTTTTTTCCAGACTTAGTCCTGAGTTGATCTCATTAATTAGAAACTAGTACAGCCTGAGTCCCCACCACCACAATCTGCATTAATTTCCATTAGTTAGCATTAAGTTTCCATTGTCTTCTGCTGCCCATTCTCCTGCTTGTTGTGGTATGTAACCTTGCTGTTTCCTTTCCTTTCCAGATTAGTAACAAACATAGTTTATAACATCCAAGCATCCCACACTCACCCTTTTCCTGAAAAATTCACCATTCCTCCTACTTGCGTCTGTCTTCTAGGCTGTTAATAATCACTGGCAAAGTTCTGCTCACCACATACAACTACCTACCTTCCTCAGTAGCTTTCTGGAGAACATCTCATCAAGGATCTTTAAAGTCTAGCTAGTGATCTAGATCTGGTAGCTAGTGATCTACTAGCTATTATCTAGCTGGTAGATAATACTTCGACTGTATTAAACGCAGCATGATTAAGCTCCCTAGACAGCACCTAGAGACCAAAGGTCTGAAACTTTGGGTATAACATAGATAGCTGGAGGTCAAAACCGATTTTCAGCCACAACAGCCATGGAAACACACAGTGACACAGTGTCCCCTGGGGCTGTGAGGGCCCCCGAGGCCCTCGTGGCAGAGGCAGCCACGAGCCAAGCTGATCCTCAACCCGTGTTGCCTTTGCTGAGCGTTGCCCAGGTCCCGAAGCTCACCGGGAGGGAGGCTGCAACGCCTGGCCTGTCTCAGGGGGAGAGGCGATGGTCCACCCAGTGCTGCCGACCACAAGCCAAGAGCATGGAAAGGGGAATTGGCACGTGGCTGAAAATCAGAAACGGAGGAAAAATGTAAAAGCCAATCCACTGCTTAGACCCATGTGGGGCCAGCCAAACAGGCCTGGTAAGAGCAGAAAATCCTGGTGAGTCCCCCTGGGAGCCCCCTCCTGGGACTGAGGAGAGGAGCGCTCTCCCTCCCCGGGCTGGGGAGGCCTTGCATGGCTGCAGGAGGGCTTCTTGTGGCAAATGAGATGACTGTGAACACTTGCAGTGGGAAAACATCAGAGGAAGGCATTGCCCGTGCCCTCAGAAGATTCAGAGGCGCGTGGGCAGCACAGGAGGTAGGTACGGGGGCAGAGCTGTTCGTCGGAGGTGAGCAGCTCGCGACAGCTCTGGCAGAGGCACACCACAGCGCTGCGCCAGGCCCTGGCTTTGGCTCCCGCCTCACCTCCATGCCTGGCCCAGGGAGCCACAGGGACCTGGCCTGGGATCAAGCTGTGCACAGCGATTGCATCAGCCATGGAGAAGAATTTCCTGGCACAGAGGTGAAAGGAAGCTCCTTAATCCAGCGCTCTTTGCTCACTGGCATTTAATGATGTGATGAGTCAAATGCCGCAAGTCTTCAAGGAACCCATCCTCCAGACACTTTCCTCTCGCAGCCAGAGTGATATCACGCTTGCCTGCAAAGGGAAACGACTCCTCTTTATTAGCCAAATTTTGTCAACACAGTTTGGTGCCACTACCTTCCCAGGCTGGAAAAACAAGCCGTGGAGCTGACATCACCCTGCCATGGGCCTAAAAACAGGCTCTCCCATGCGGGTGCTGGAGGGGAGATGCATGACGCACCGCTGAGGGAGCAGCCATAGCTTATCAGCTGCTTGCAAAATCCCACAGGAGAGCAGCAGTTGGAGGCAGTGCTGTGCCCTGCTACCTGCACCAGCATGGTCTGGCCGCTGCCGGCAGGCTACGAAAGAGGTCGCAAGAGGAGCGGGGCAAGTGCCCAGCTTCCCACCTTTGCGTCAGCAGCCAGGAGGCGCTGGCTCCCACGGGCTGGCACCGCACGGCACAGCGCTCTGCTGGAAAACACACTCGCTCTCGCACTGGCTCAGAGGTGTCAGAGACGCACAGGGCTGTCTTGCCTCATGCTCACAGGAGGCTCTCAATGAGCCTGCAGGGCAGGGCCAACTTGAAAAGCTGGCTCATTCACTCTCCCTGTGGCTCTTGCCTGCTGAGACACCCTGGCCCTCACAGGGGATTTTGCCCCCATTAGTGAGAGGGCTGGCATTGTTGCATTGCACTCAGGCTCCCCTGTCCTTTGCCAAGAGAAGGATGGAGAGGTAGAAGCGCAGCCTCGCACTGCATGGGGCTTGACTGGGCTTGCAGCTTCTGGGTGAGGGTACCCCCCGCTTCTTCAGCCCTCAGAAAAGGATAAAGAGTCACATCCTACTTTCCCTTGCAAAAACCTCAGGCTCGTTCCTGCTTGGTGCCTCATAAACCACAATTTTAATGTTGTAAGTTACACTTCAGACCTATCTGCCAATCTCAGCATACCTGACAAGGAGTACACAAGGTAACCAAGCAGCTTCTTGCCCAGAGACCAGGTACCAAGTCAAAGGCAGAGCTGCTTGAGGGATAAACCTCCCCTGTAGCCCTTCCCCCATCCAGGTTTTTAACCAAATGTGCCAAGCTACTCATTATTAATAGTTTAACTTAATAGCTAGCTTTAGGCCTTGCTATACTTTCCCTCTGTATTCAAATTTGAAAGAACAAATAATTAGGAAAAAAATAAAATGAGAGAAAGCTACACTTTTAACAGGAACAGAGATGATATAAAAAGGATAGGAATACAGGTGTAAAGAAGATAGGAATAAAGATGAAAAGCCTAGAGAAACACTCGTGTTTAGTTAATGTATCCAAATATTTTCAGAAAACTGTGGAGCACGGCCAAGCCAAATCAGCATCTCACCTCCACCGTGCCTTGCCCTACTGCCTGGGTGCGGGGATGGAGACAAGGCACCCAGCCACGGCATCAGTTTGCAAATTTGTCCCGTTGCTCTTTTTTCCTCTTTACATTAAAGGAATCCAACTCTGTCACCAAGCCAGACTTCCCTTTTTGCTGTATTCAACCTAATCTAAATAGCCAAGTTCTCACGAAGGTGGCAGTAATGATTTCCCTCTGCCAACCCACACTCAACAAAGAACTGAGCAAAACAGTCTTCCCCCACCCTCTTTGTCAGCACTCATCTGCCAGGGATGATTACAAAGCTACCATGGGGCAATTGGCAATGGGTAGATAAGCTGCAAAACTTGTGCCAGTATCTCTTCCCCCCCCCGCCCCCCCCCCCCCGCCCCCCCCCAAGAACTATCATGCTTTAAAATTCAATTCCTGCAGACAGGAAGGTACCATTTATGCAGTGTTTTACAATCCTTGCTTTTCTCCTACTTGCCAATTGTTAGCAGCTTACCTCACCCTGATTTTCTCTGTTTGCCCACTGGGGACAGGCTTGACACCCTCAAAGCAGAAGGTATGAAGTTATATAGGGCTGCTACAGAGCAAGACTGATGGGGTGCCTAGCCCACCACTGATAACGACAAGTTTTGGGTATCTCAGGAGGCAGCAAGAAACTCCAAGAAGAATAACTTGTGCCACTGGATAGTTACAGGTTCAAGCTTGAACCTGCAGGCTGTTCTCATCCATCCTAGACAGCAAACAGGATCCTTGTCCCAAACCTTTGCTATAGCCCCTCTGCAGGCCGAAGGCTGGTATGGGGGAAGGAGGGCTGGGTAGCCATGCCACGCAGGAGCCAGTGACTCAGAGCTGGGCACTGCCCCAAACCAGAACATCCCAGGAGCCCAGCCAAAACGCTGCTCACTAGGCTGCACGTGGCAATGCACCTTTCATCTGCAAAAAAAAAAAGAAGGAGAAAAAGTAAGTGAGAGCAGAGCCTGGAAACTCCAGCAATGAGGTTACTCTCCAGTGGGCACTAGCGTGGAGAGGGCCCCAGGCAACAGTGCAGTGAGGAACCCCAGCCCTTGGCCTTGCCAGCCAGACTGTCAGCCAGCACTGCAGGTAGGTTGTGTAACAGCAGCAAAGCGTGGGTTTGCCTTGGAGTCTAGGGTGAGTAGAAACACATCGGCATCACGCCACACCACGCCTCCCAGGGGGGCAACAGCATGCCTGCTCATGTTGAAATGGGACAGGGGTTTTCTTTTGAAAGAGCAGAGCTTGTTGCTTTTACAGACGGGCAGCATGACCATCACTCCAAGCTACTGGCTGCTCTTCCTGTGGTCCTGGCACTTGCATCTGTTCAGAATTCTTCTTTTATCACAGGTTTGGAGACTCCATGGGCATGGGTGTCACACAAAGGCAGAGGAGGGAAGGCACTGTCTGAAACTCTGCGCAAAGACCAAGAGGAGTCACTGGCAGAGGTTTGTAGTGGTCCACAGGCATGCAGAGACAGTAGCAGTAGTGACAAGAAGGGAAGAGAACTCTAATCATGCTTTGAGCAACATCCTGTTACAAGGATGTAAGGATGTTACAAGGATCCTGTCAAAGGTTCACATTAAACCAAGACCAGAGAACTGCCACACAGGGGAAAGAATATAACTTTATTAAAAAATAATAATAATTTAGCTCAAACACAAACAAGATTGCAGAGGGTTGATGGAAGCAGCAGGAAGAATATTTACAGACAGAACTTAAAACAGACCAATTTTATTCTCTTTCAAATGACACTTTTGTTGCCCTTTCCTGTCCACTGCTCTACCTCAGGTCCTCACTAGCACATAAAGGAATCCCAACTCTTGGGGCTCTTGGCAGTGGGGCAGAGGAGAAACAGTACTTGCCAAACACGAGATGCTATTCCTACCTCCAGTACCGCCATGAAGATCCAAAAAGCCAGAAGAGTAACACCAGCATCTAAACCAACATGCAATATAAAGGGAGCAACTTGTACTCCTCCCTAGAAGTCTACCTACCCATGCCCCATTCCCAGCGTCCTGGCCAAGTATTTCCACCCATGCCTGAATTTGCCTCCCCGCCCACAGATGCTGTACACAGAGGTGTGCACGCAGGCCTTCGCAATGTTCTTCCCTCCCCGCTCTCCTCTCAGCCAGGAGGACAGCACCCAGACCTGCTGATCACTCGCCTCACTCTGTGCCTGTGTGCCGCACATTTCTTGGCACTGCAGAAGTTCATTTCACAGTGAAGAAACACGTCCTAGAACATGCTGAGCCACTATTGCAATTTTTTCTCTTCTGTGAAGTGCCATTTCGTGCAATTGCCATTCTGATATACAGGGCTGGCCCCCTTCCTTCTGCACCACACCACAGCTTTGTAGAGGATGAAGCCAATACCAGCCAGGCACAATAAGAGAAGGGCCAAGATGTCCAGGCAGAAGTACTCATATAAGGACAGGTCGTAGACAGCAGGGCGAAGATACGGTGCCCCATCGTGACGAAGGAGATACTCCAGCCAGTACACTGTCCTATTGAGAGCATGCATTGGTGTGTCGCGGTGCAGAGCCGAAATGAACTTGGCTGCTTTTCTGTAGCTGAAAGGGAGGAAGAAGACAAGAAGTTATCCTTGTGACAGCAGCTTCATAGCTGAGAAGTGATCTGATATGTCCACCGGTGCCTTCAAGTCTCAAATGATACCTTGGGAGAGTGGCAAATTTCTTCCACAACTGGCTTCATAGCTGCCTCCAAAAGCCACTCATGGCTCTGAGCAGCCATGGCAACACAAGCCAGAGCACATTTTACTTTGTGTTTTGTTAGCAAGACTGGCAGTTCAGTTCCCAAGTTCCTTGGTAAGATGGTGACAGATGCTCAGCAGTTTCATGTGGATTGTCGCTTTCTGAGGGGAGTTTGCACCAGAAGACCTTATTAGCATCAAGCAACAGTCACACATTTGATGACTGGCCTAATCCTTCAAGGCACTGGGTAGTGACAATTTATACTGAGCTCAGTAGCTGAGCGCTCCTAACAGCTAACAAAATCAAGCTCCCAAACAGCATTTCAGAAACTAACAGTGGCATGTGTCCTATTAGACGGTGGGTGCCCTGTGACACTGTGCTGTAACAAATCTAATAAAGGGTAAAGAACCCGGTCTCGAGAAGAAACAATTGGAGCGTTATCTGCAGCCCACTGTCTGCACCAGCTGTTTCTGCCAAAAGTTGTTTGGACAAGAACAGGGAGACCACAAGTTGAGGATGCAATCTCACTTTCCCTGATCACAGGCTGGTATTAAAAGAAGAGCTTTATGCATCAGCATCTCAAAGCTTTCTTAGAAAGTTATAGCCAGAGCCAAATAAGACTAGATCATGCTCTCTCACAGCAAGTGCTAGAGTATCTCTTAGTGCAAGCATCTCAGGATTACAAGGTAATAATGCATCTGGCCTGCTGAGCAGTGTTTGCAACACTACTTGGTCCAGAAGACACTACTGGCTGTGTAAGGGACAATGCAAAGACATGCTGGTCCCTACTGCCTTTGTCAAGGAAGAGCTCAGTGCTTCTGAATGCCTCACCTGGGGTCAGAGATAACAGTGACGATGGCCTGGTAAAGATCCTCTTCTTTTACTTTGCTCCAGTCCATGAGGATACCCATGCCCTTTGCCTGCACTCTGGTCATGATGTCAAACTGGTCCCCATAGAAAGGAAACCCCACCACTGGTACACCATGATAAATTGCCTCGAATACACCATTCATCCCGCAGTGGCTGACAAAGGCTTTTACGTTGGGATGGCCTGTGAGGAAAGAAATAGAGGCAAGTCGGTGCATCCCACACAAAAATGGGACTTCTCCTGACTTTCTGTACACAGTATTGATTTGTGTTTAAGGAAAAACAAGTGTGATGAGCTGAGAAGATGAACGTTCATGTTATCCTTTGGGAACACGCCCTACTTTTGGCAGTGAAAAGCTTGCTGAGTAGAGCCTGGAGGAGGAGGGAGATGGGGCCAAGGTACAGCTTCAAACAAGCATTAGGTGAGGACTATGTTATTTACAGATCAGACTTGCAACAAGTGACAGACTTGTTGCATTCAAGTGACACCCACAAGGGTGCTGTTTTCCTTGTACATCTTTGCTGTGGTTAGGACTAAACTCTGGGGATGTCACTAGCTGTATACACACATTCCTTGTCTTACCTAGCAGGTCATTCGGGGCCAGCCACTCCATCATCAGTGTATTCTCACCCAGGTTGTCTGGCTTCTGTCCAAAGTATCTGTGGAAGGAGGTTAAAAGAGGAAAAAAAAAAAAGAACCCCCCCCCCCTCCACACACACACCCCAATTATAAATTCAACTAAAGCAAGAGATGGAAGACAAATGGGTGTTTTGAGCCAGAATCATCCCTCAATAATGATTTTCATTAACTTGAATTAATAAAAATCCCACTTCCCCCTCACCTCCACACGACCCTCTGCGGGAGGCGAGCAAACGCGCCAGCCATCTTCTCCACCAAGTCACTCGGGAGAGCTCGGATCCCAATGCCAAAGGAGACAACAACAACACCCGCATCTGCTGCTTCCACCCAGAGACGCAGACCCTGCAGGCAAAACACACACAGCCGCCTTGAAGCCTTCTTGGAGAAAGGCCCTCCCCACTGCATCTCTGCCAGCAAAAAACGCCCTATGGAGAGGTTAAAACGCTCTATGGAGCACAAGGCTATGTGTTTCTGACCAGGCAACATACTCTAGAACTGCTGCGATATCTGCACCCAGACAGGCAGAAATTGCTCGAACACCTGCTGGGCTTAGACGCCTCTGCAGGGGGGTGTCTAAAAACTAAATTTCATACTATGGATGGCTTTCAGCAGCAGCAGGTAATGCAATTACTCTTTGGCAGTGAGGGCTCTGAAAACACAGGCTGGGGCCCACATAGAAGCAGCCAGAGCAACAAAAAAAACTGGAGTATATTGAGGAAACCAAGGCTATCTTCCAATACTGCTACAAGACAAGGTCTATCAGAGCCTCTAGCTACAGGCCAATATAACAGCTGAAACGTCAACTTAACAGAATCAGGAACATCTCTCTTGAAATCTCCCACAAACACTATGACTTTTAAAACTGCTGGAAGTGGCAGAAGGCTTTGTCATCTAGCTAGGATACTTATACCTCTCCGATAGCTACTTCCAGGTAGCAGATTTAGTCTCCATTTGTTAGGCAGAGAGGCGACTACAACTCCATGAGAAACCACAGTTGGTCATACTTTGTTTTGAGGTTGTCTGTGATGCTACTTAAAAAGGTATGCATCTAGGAGACAGTCCTCAGTTTCTTTGACCAGGGGAGAGAAGAAATCAGTCAGCATGACCACTATGGAGCAAACACAAAGCATTCCTTTCCATGCCAGGTTGGACTGAGCCCATTATTCTCTTCTGCTTCAAGTTCCCCGTATATTATCTCACGGTCAAGAGCATTTTCGGGAAGTTTCCTAAAATCTGTCTCTTGAATGTGAACACTTCACTGAAGGACGCAGTACAATAATGCTAGGGGGCAAAAAAAGTTCTTCTGGTTGTTAAAGCAGAAAAATTGGATGGCTAACCCAAAATATCTTATGATCAGTAGTCTACAAAGTTGAAGATTACGGTACAGAAAAATTTCAAAACGCACTTTAACGTTGCTGTCTGTGAACATCTGTCCTTTGTTAGATGCTTCTGGGAGGCAAACCTATCTTTGCAGAAGAGCTTAAAAAGCCCTAAAATAACCCTGCAAAAATCAATGGGACTTCAACTAAGGGTTTTGTTTTTTCCCTTTTGCTTGATTTTCACACTCTCTTTTGAGCAATATAACTGCTTAAACTGTTAAAGAAGAGAAAGTATACCAGTTTGGTTTTGATAGTGAAAACTAAGATGATTCTGGTAGTATCTATTATAATCAAGCCTTAACATCTGACTTTCAGAAATAGCACTAAAGTTGCTAAGGGAAACACAGCTGACAATCAAAAATTCTCACCATCTCTCAAATAAGTGTCTATAATCCACAGCGTCCTAATTAAAGAAACTCTCAATCACCATGTTTCAAACATGAGGAAATAAATACCTTACTTGCGTAACTCAGCTCCTGTCCAGATGGGAGAGTCCTTAAGATACACCTAGGTCTACAAAGGCCTTCTTTCTCCTTGGCCTCCTGTAGCCTGGGCACAGATATGCCCACCTGCTAGCACTACAGCCACAGCCTATCACAGGGCTCTGGGCTTATGTCCATCTCTTAGGCACTCTGAGTTCAGCTCTGGAAGCTGTGAAGCACGTGAGTAATGCCATGGCAAACAACTCCCTTCCTTAAGGGACAGGCTTGTATGTGGCCAGACCAAGCCAGCATCTTGCAAGACCTGTGAGGCAGCCACTCTGACTCAGCTCTTGGATGATCAGCAGTCATATACACCTGGAGAACTCTTGTTCTAGAGCACTGATCTCACTTTTTCCTTTTAATTGGAAAAAAAATTGGCATCCACAACCTTAGTTAAAGCTGCCATCAGAGCTCTTAATAGACCTCTAATAATTTGAAACTTGTATCTTATCTTCATTTCAGCTCCCTGCCTGGGACACAGGAACAACTTGACTTCTTGAGCTTCACTATCCTGTTTAATTTCCCCTCAGTGTTTGTAAAAGTGGTAGAGCAATGAGAGGAATGGCAGATAGGTCCTGCTCTGTCCCATGGAATCTTCAACTGGAGAGTTTAAGAGCTTGGCCCCCTGAATTTATCACTGGAGATAGTATGGTACCAGTCAGAGAAAACCTCTGGGATGCCGGGGGAGTTCTCCTCAGGGCTACCACTTAAAGAAAAGGAGGATGGGACAGTTTTCAGTCTCGTATATTTGAATCTGTACACGTCGAATTTGGTCAGTCAACAAGCACAACACTCCCCTCAAGTTATTAAGACTACAAGCTCCAGGGCAGAAATGGCCTGCAAGAAATAGGATTAAGGAGGAAAATCTGGATTAACTAAACCAGTGATGAAGCAATATAGACTAATTGCTTTTCCTATTTCCTCCCCAAGTACATAGAAATGAACAAACTACTGCTGATTCAGTCCCAGGGGTAGCACTGCCGGTATAGGGCTTCCGTGAGCCATTTGAAATGGTGAGTGCAGCCAGCTCCCACTTCAGGGTGGGAAGCTTAACTCAATATCCTCCCTGCATCCCCACCATCCTGAAGGCTCCCTGTCTCCCTGCTGCACACAGGCTCCAAAACACAGCAGCTTTCCTGAGGCTGCACAGCATTTATGAGACTCTTCAGCAGCAGATTTGCACTGAATACCTCCCCAGACAAATACCTAATCACAGCTCAAAGCTTTCCTGCACTTACCACTGAAAGGGGCTTTGCAGGCTCAGCAAGGATCCCCCCTGTGAAAATGACATGGGGAAGTGTTGGCCGGGGAAAGTCCAGCACCACATCATTACAGAGGAAGAAGAGGCTGGTTCCATGGACAAGGTCCAACATGGATGTCTTGGGCTCCACCCTGTGCTTCTCCATGAGACGTTCAAACTTGGGCAGGATGACCAGCTTTGTGGCCACACGAGTGATCATATAGACCAGGAGATTCCAAGTCCTGCCAAAGAAGCTCATTTTGTCTGTCATCAGGGAGTTGAACTCAGGGACATAGGCAATGGGGGAAGTGGCACCAATCTCTGCTGGGAACCAGAAACCAGTGGAGATCACAGCGTATTTGACATGGAGGAGATGGGCCAGGATAAAGCCACACATCTCATTGGGGTCCACCAACAGCAGGTCAAAGCGCTCATGCTGGAGTTTCTGCAGAAGGGTAGAGTTTCCCAGAACTAGGTCACAGTTTTCCAGGTACTTCTCCAGAAAGGAGAACACCTCCAGAGAGGTCATCTTCCCTTGGAAGACACGCTTTATCTTCTCCTGCACCCAGGCGTCCGCGCTCTCCATGCTGAAGACGCCCCAGTACCTCTGTATGCGGAAGCCTGGCAGGTAGGTTTCCACATCCCGACCCTCATGAAGAAGTAGCACAGGATCATGGCCCCGATCAGTCAATGCCTCTGCCACTCTCATGAAGACTCGCAAGTGGCTGTCAAAGACTACGGTAGGCATGATCAGCACCTTGGCACCATGACACAGCTCCAGACTGAAAGGAGCCATTAGTAGGAGAAGAGCAGCAGGACACAGTAGCACCTTCATCTTCATAACTACAAGGAGAGAAACATATTATTAATATAGCATGAAACGCTCAGTCACATACTCGGGCAACTAACAACTGGGACTACAGCTGCAAGTCAGGAGCTCATGAACTGGGAGAGGAGAGCAGTCTGGATTTGGTCACTGCAGGAAAATCCCAAAGTTGGATACTAGGTGTGTCAGGGAAGGGTCTTCTAGAAATTGAGAATGCTCTGCCTGTGCTGATCTGCTCCTAAGGCTCAGAAACCAACAGACTGACTTGCAATGTCATTACAGGGGGAGAGCTTCTGGGGGAGCTCTGCTGGGTCCCAGGGCAAGCTGTAACACTCACTGCTCAGTCCCCATTTACCCTTACCAAACTAGAGCAGCTGAATTTTATTTCTACCCAGCCAGAATTGCTGACTACTTCCAAGACCTTGATGCCTGTGCAATCTTCCTGTGAAGCCTGCAGAGCCTTTACTACCAGAGAAGATGCCAAGAGGCACTATCCAGCTTCAGCTCTTGCAAGGCTGGCAGCTAGCAAGCCACCTTGCTCAGCTGAAGCAGAGCAGGAGAGCACCCATGTCACAGCAGGACCCCTGGAGAGGAACAGCAATCTCAGAGAGAGCAGCAGGGGTCTAGAAGGAAAGCTGTCCCACTACACCATGCACAAGTGGTCCCATGCACAAGTGATGGATTGGCCATGGGAGAATAGGGAGGCTCAGTGGGAAGAGCTGGGGAAGGAAGGCAGGTGCCAGGCCACTAAAGCATTGAAAGAGGGGAAATTGAGCTGGCTGCAGAAAGGAGCACAGAGACAACCTGCAATATACGTAGCACCCTGACACCCCTTAGTCACACTCCTAGGGCCATCATCCCGTTCCCAGGTTGGTGTAACACCCAACATTTCTGTTGTGCAAAGGGTGTTGCTACATTACTGAAAATGAACGCGCCTCACCCACACCTTGCATTATTTTGGGAAGAGAATTACCTGATAATTATTTGAGAACAGTCAGAAACAGAGCAGTGTCCCGAGGACCCAGTTCAGACATGTTAGGAAGAGCAGGGGGAAGAAGTTACGATGGGAGCAACTACGTATGGATGTTGGATGGCCCCAAATGCTACCCCAGTGGGGCTGAGGAGATGCAGTGGAGCTGAATTTGGTCCAAGGTGTAGTGCCAGCCTCTCTGCTATGGCTTGATCAATTAAAAGGCAAGAAAGAGTCTAAAATAAGGTCCTGCTAAGTACAGTCTTCAGACTCCCTTCAATAGCTGGATGAGGGTTGTAAGGTGGAACACTAGCCAGAGATAGCTAGTGGAGATACAGAGGTGGAGATGATGCTCACCCCTTCCCATAGCCTTCCTATGCCATTTAGCAGGGACATGTCAAAGAAACCCAGAGCAGCTGCTGGCTGTGATCCTCCCCTCTGCGATACCAGACAAACACAGCTACAACCACTTGGACCCCACCATGCCCATCCAGGGCCAGCTGGTCAGGTGTGGCTGCAGAAGGGATAAAAAGCACTAGTTTGGAAACCAAAGGGGTGTTTGGACCCACAGAGCAAGAGCTCCAGAAGGACGGAGGCAAAGGTGACAGACTGGAGTCAAGGGAACAGAAGTTCTGCAAGGAAAGAAAAGATCTGCTCAGCACCCTGCCTTCCTGCCAGTGGGGACAGGCCGTCCCAAGCTGGCCAGAGGGTCGGGTCCTGGGCACTGCAGCAGGAGGCCCCTGTATAGTTACAACCCAAAAAGCTAGTATAGTTTTCAGCTCACTTGAGAGGCCCAAAGGGGAATTCTCCTGCTCAGCATTAGGGAAGGCAAAGTGTTTGGCTGTGACCTTGCACAGCAGATCTGGAGCACAGGCAGCTTCCAGAGGAGAGTCATCAAGTGCCCTAGATGAAGGAAGCCTCGAGCTCCACCTGCTCCCCTCCCCACTTCACATCTCCTGCCAACGCTGGGCCTGCAGCTACAGCCACTCACGAGCTTCGCAGCAGGATCATCCAGTGGCAGCAGGTAGTACCACACACTGCAGCCAGTGCTGCACGCTGCAGCCCAGCCCTCCAGCTAGTGGGAGCTTGGCTGCCTACACCCACATTTGTGCTGCAGATGGATAGTCTTCAGCAAGAAGCCTCCAAACCACAGGGCACAGGACCTTGATCCTTCTGGGAGGTGAATTCATGGTCTGCACCTCAGCAAGGCTGTGAAACCCAAGTCAATGACAGATCACAAACTAGGTCCAAGAGCTGAGCAGACAGCACTACCTACTCATTTGTGGTCTTGAAGCTCTGGCCCAGAGGCTAAGTCAGGGGAATACTGCAAGAAATAACACTGTCACCAAAAGGAAAAGAAAAGGTTTGTACGGAGGCAGGATGGGCCCTTCCTTATTGTAATGAGAAATGCTCAATAAAGCCAGGAAAATCTACCAATTTAGACAGAGGAATCCCCAAACTCTTCAGCTAACACTAACATCCAAAAGACAGGGATACTGAGAAAGCGGATAAGAAAGCACATGCTATGGAGGGTTTAAGTCACCCAGCCCCTGGCCTGCAGGATGGGGTAGGCATTTGCTGATGGTGGAAGAGCTGGGACTAAAGCCTGCTGTAAGAGGGATGTGCAGAGGGAAGCTCCCTCATGATGCAGCATCATCCCTGTGTGCAGTGCAAGCATCATACCATCAGCTGCTGGGAGTCTCCACTAAAAGCCAAAGCAAAATATTGAAATTGAAATGAGAGGCAGCAGCAGCAGGGGAGTATTAGGGAGAAGAGAAAGAAATTAGCCCCCTGAAACCCCCTGAGAGATCTCTTACTGGGCTGAAATTTGCCCCTTGATTTTGCCATATTTAATGTGTTTGACAGTGTATGGTTCTGCCATTAATGGGAGATTACATCAGTTTAAAGTGAGGTACATGAACAGTTACAGCTCTAAAGACAGACATTTCTTCAATTCAGGTGCCTTTTATTAGGATGAAGTACTAAAACCTCTGACAGCAGGTGACCTAGGCAGAGAAGCCCACACAGGAAGGGCAGTGATCAGAGACCCCACTATTAGGGCTCTGCCCTTTGTATTTCTCTCTCTTCCAGTATTTTGTATTGCCTAATTTGTGCCTAGGACTTGGGAACCCACATCTACGCAGCTGAATCGTTTCCTCTCCTGCACCCAATCTCTACCCAGCTCTTGCCCAGAGTAAAAAGAAATGTTTTGTCTTTAAACTTTTTAAGAGTTAACAAAGCATTACAGTTCATTAGAAGCCAAAATGAAAAAGACATTTTCACTTTGATGTTAAAACCAAAAGAAAACAAACAAAACACCCAAAAAACCCACCTTCCTTGAATAGGAAATCAAGGTTTGGCTCATCTGTTGAGTATGATCTGGAAAAAAATGGCACCATCTGCTACCATTAAGCTGATGACAACCAAGCCAGTTGTGGCTAATTTCAGGAAATCAAAGCTCAGTGCATGCTGGCGGGTATGCAGCTTTGAGAGCAATTCTGCCACTGCAGGAAGGAGTCTCACTACAAGCAGGAGCTGCTCAAGGGAATCTTTAGTAAAAATCAGGAGGATGCAATGCTGTATAAGCTAAACTTAATAATGCTGAAGCAGGGACAACCTAACCCACAGTCAAATATGACCTAGTGCTTGATAGACTTCTGCTCTGGTTTTTGGATTTTCACACTGCTTCAGAGTCACCTGGGTAAATAACACTAAAATACTAGTATTTTAATACTAGAAATCTTGAGCAAAAACAAAACTTCTCCTCCAACAGCATCAAATATAAACTTCTCCAGGCAGCTTATGCCACCGAGTTTTTTAAAATATGATTTGCACATAGAGTGAATCATGCACAGGTAGTCTGCTCAAAACAGTGTACCTTTCTAGCATGTTTCATTTGACATCTCCATGGTGGTAAGAAACATGGAGAAAGAACAATGCCCAGGTCCCAAAAAGATCACGAGGAGCAACCACACCAGCGATCAGAAGGTCAACACCAGAACAGCTCTTAGTTTGCACTACACAGTGCTACAGCTTCCACATAGTGGCATCAG